GTAACGATGGCAGGAGGGGTTACCCTGCTGTGAGAGCCAGATGCTTGCAACATCCCAGCACTGAGCGGAAAGTGGGGCAGGGCTTGTTTGCCAAGCTCTTGGGACTCGTAAAGAGGCAGATTTTTGTCTCTGCCAAAAGCGCGGAGATGTTGCCAGGCCACTTTCCCCATCTGGAAGGTCAGGGGCTTTAGCCTCCTTTCACAGTTGTGCAAAAGCACAGCCCAGGGAGGTGAAGGGACTTAACCCTGCTCTGCTGATGAGTCAGGCATAGAGCTGGGAAGAGAACGCAGTCTCGAAAGAAAACAAAATCCCGCCAGTATCTACTTCCAAACACAAGAATTAGGGCACCGGAGTCCTGTGCCTGTGTGTTTCCTGGGCCAAGGCATATACAGCCTTACTGTAATCTCTCTGATCCATGGAGGACTTTCTGTTCCTGCAGTCACTGCTCTGTCTCTCAACCCTTTTCCTTGCCTAGCTTTCATCCCTCTTCACCAAGGGGCTCAAGATCCTTCACAGGTGCCCGGCTCCTTTTTTGCCAGGTACATATCAAGGCCGCTTCCTTTCAGGCATCATACCAATTGCGCAACCAAGTATTCCCTATTTAATTGCCAGGGAGGGCTGGACCACTTCCTGAGCCCAAACAGGGACCATGTACCCCTCCGTAGCACTTATTGCTCTCAGGGGGTCAGTTGGCAGCTGGACATCTGCAAATAAGGATCAAGAGATGCCCCTGGGCTGCCCAAGGCAGGCCCGGGGTTACAGAATCACAGAATGTTAGGGATTGGAAGGGACTTCAAAGGATCATCTAGTCCAATCCCCCTGCCTAAGCAGGACCACCTAGATCAGATCACAATAGGAGAGCAGGGCTGGAAGCAGCTCAGCTGCAGGGTCTGTCCTCAGGCTGGTGGCAGGACTGTGCAGAGCTGTCCCCTTGTCTTCCCCTCCCTGCCATCCCAAAGCCCTGGGGATTCGGCTTGCCCAAAGCCCAGCCCCAGGGGTGAGCTCGCAGCCCACACGTCCTCTGGGTAGATCCCAGGGCTGGAGCCAGCCAGTGCCTCCATCTCCTCTGGGAGAGGATGTCCTGCTGGGAGGTCACCTTGGAGGGCACGGTTGGAGGGTCAGGGGTGTGGGATGTGCCGGCCTTTGGGCAGGACGCAGCTACGCTATCTCCTAGTATGACCCCTCTTGGTCACCGCTGCCTGTCAACGGAGGGAAGGCCTTCTGAGCAGCCCTGTGTCCTATCAGTCAACAAGCAAGGCTGACATGGGCTTTGAGACTGGGCCAGATCCCTGGCCTTTGCCCCATGAGCTACCTGCCAGCACCCAGCCTTTTCCCAGGACAGCATCTGGGACCCAGACCCAAGACCCTTGTGCCACCTCGGAGGCAGGCGCAGGGGACAGAGCAACCATCGTCGGCCCCTGCCAGTGCTTAAAGCGGCCGTTGCATGGTTAAGGCTCCAGAGGATTTAGCACAGAGCAGGGATGCTGGGAAGAAGGGAATGGCCCTTGGGCATCTCTTCACAAGGCGTGCAAGGTTTGCTGCAAATCTTGCTCTGCACATAGCGCTGGGAGCTAACAGAAATGGGGAGGAGAGGAAGATGAGAGGTGGCCAAGAGTCCTTTCTTTGAGGAGACCTCACCCTTCTGGTGGGGACTCAAGAGGGTGTTCGTGGTGGGGACACCAGTGGCAACTGTGCGCCTGGCCCTGTGCAGGAGGAACGCAGGCCATCCCTGCCGAGGAGGGATGCGAGCGCTATAAATAGTTTGTTTAACGCACTGTGGCCAGGCCCTGGAAAGCCCCAACCCATGCACATTCCCCATTTGCTGGCACTGAGACGGCAGCTGTGACGCCCCCAGCCCTCCTGCTCCCCTCGCAGAGTGACTGAGTCCAGGGCATTGCTTGGCACGGGTGCTGAGGCTTGCCACGGAGGTGCCAGCTCTGTGCTGGTGTTGGCGCTGCTCCCTGGACTGGTGGGGGCTGCAGGATGCTCCCACCGCCTGGCTGCTGGTGCCAAAGAAGGATGGGGAGGGGGCTTTCCTTCCAGACAGCCCGTGCAGCTGCTGCCTACGCACGTGCCGTCAGCGGCAGCTCTACCTAACCCCGGCTCGGGATGCTGGGCTGGGCCACATCCCGCCAGCTCTGCTTGCACAAAGGCCCCTTGTGCCCACGGGACTGACATTCCTGCAGCCATGGGGCCAGAGCAGAGAGAAATGCAGCCGAGGGGGAGACAGGACCAGAGCCCGGCTGCCCGGGCGGCTGGTGGGGCCAGCTGGGGCTGGGCGGCTGTCCTGCCCCCCTCCTGCGCCTGGAGGATGGATGGGAGCAGCTGGTGGGAGAGGGAGGACCCCCGGGGTGAGCAGGTGGCTCCAGGCTGCAGGAGCGGAGGGCACAGGGTGCCGGAGGGG